GGGTCGGGTGGGGGTCAGGGTGGGATGGGGATCGAGTGGGGGTGGGAGGGAGGTTGGCGACAAGCGGTCAGGTGCGTCCCCGACGACGTGAGCAGGTAGGCGTGGCCGGGCCAGGGTGGGATGGTGGTGGGTGGTTGATGTGGGCGAGAGGCGTGGGAGGGAGCTGGGGATGCTGATGTTGAAAGATCGCGGTGTGATTGTGTGTATTTGTGCATGGACACATGCATACATTTCGGTGTGCTTCGCCGCGTTAAATCGATCGTTTGCTATTGTTACAGGTTTTACGAAGAAAAGCAGTGAGGCCGTAAAACGATTGAACAGCTGTGCTTCAAAGAAAGCTTTAGAGTTGCATTGTGTTGTGTGTAGATGGTATCAGTTATGCATGTTATCAAGATTTGCAGCTGATACCAATTACCAGGAAGACGATGCAAGACAAGTGCCTTGAATATTGTGCCAACCAACTAGAAATTAATCTCATATCAGCTCAACCCCTAGAAAGGTGCTATGAAATATTACATTTGCTACTAAGCATTTCTCTCTGCATGTGTTTGCGTGTGCTCGAGTGTACTGGCACGCGCGTTTTCCTGTATGTGTATTCTGGTGTTCTAGTGATATCTATCTAAGCATTTTTGTGCGGAAGTGCTGTTAGGGTAACAGCACAATGCGTGCGCAATATAACAGATGGCGTTTCATGTATGATGACGTGCGATTGTCTAGACGACATGTCTCGCATTGGATTCGAATCTCGTTTGCGTTCGCCTTTCGAGTGCCATGGCTCTACTGCCCCAGCTAGAAAACGATTCGACTGTGCCCAGGAACGGGGTGTTGTTTGTGGGGAGTTGTTTGTTGGATGGATCGAGGTGTCTGTAGTAGGACCTCTCTCCTGCTGACTCGTGTATATAATGTTTATTTTTGCTACAGGGTTCTTTCATATTTATTTTCGTTGTTTTTTTACGTTTACGTAGTCGTGTTGCATCGCCTCAGCTTACGACGTAGTGAGAAGATACCGTTAGCGGTGTCATATAGTTCAAACGGCCATACCTCATCTCAAGTGGCGTGCTATCATAGTCTCACGCATAGTCTAGTTTCGATATAAAGGTCAACGCTAGTTGTATGTAATTAGTCCCATGCTCTTCCCAACGCTACCTTAATACGAATGTATGTTATTTAAAAATGTGTCGCCATCGTTGCTATTATTTCTGCCGTGATTGGTACCGAGGTCGAACGGAACACGTGAGCCCCTCGTCTGTGATTGGTTAGCATGGCACATGATGTGCACGTCTGCGTGCGTGCCCTTGCTGAAAGTTTTAGTTGAAATTCGGTCGTTTTCTTTAATTTTTTTCGTGTCTTATTAAGTTGCTTGCGTAAGTGTTGCGTAAGTGCGTGCGCTTTAGATGTGCGGGAGCAGGCATCTGCCCTCAATCCGTTCGTTTGCTCTTCGTCTGCTAGCTGCAGCTAAGCTGGAGAAATATCAATCGAGTATAGACTTAAACAAGATCGGTCATGTTTAATTTGCAAGAAAGTGAGCTGTCATTAAAGCGTTACTTGAAGGTGGCGCTGTGCTGTAATGACGGGCCGGTGTATTGCGCATTACGCTAGTAAAGTTTATACGGTGAGTGGCGTGTGACTGTCGTTGGTAGTCGCGTTGCTCAGGTATCAAACCAGTTTAAACTATTGGGGGCGTGTCGGTAGAGTGACGATGCTACGGTTTTAGATTGTACGCGAGGATAAGGTAGGTGGCAGTAGCTATTCTTTAGTCGACGGTGAAGAATGGATTACAGGTAATTTTCTAGCTCTTTTGAAACCAAAGATGCATCACCGATGAGAATTATGCTTTTTATAATCGATCTTGTTATTTCTTTAAGCGTATTTACATGTATGATTTATTACTAGTCAAAATAAGAGAATAAAAAAGATGTACACATTTAAAATAATATTGTAGTAGCTGTAGCAATTGCAAACAAAGAATAAACTAATCAAAAACGGATAACATTCAAAGGCATTTGTATATATTTCGTAAATACACTGGTTAAACCGTATATCACACAATTAAGTGTCTGTAATCAGACTCGCTTCCTTACAACTTTTATTTTACTCTGACACTTGATAAGATTTAACTAATTCAACGAAATGATAGTAATAATGAAATGAGAATCCTCTGACATTTACAGGAAACTTCTTGTTCGGTTTTATGAATTTCACATCTCGCATGATACATACTCCAGACTAATTATTTTCGTAATGACGTTGGTGACAAAATAAATTAAAACGCCGATCGCTAGTCTACAGACATTCACATTCTCATATGTCAGTTTGACTTAGAATTTATCCTCAAGACACTAAATTCTTACATTAACAAAAATCTAATTTACCTAGGATCGTGTTTAGAATAGCATATATATCGTAACGCGCCGAAAACTACTTTATATCGTATAACCGCATGCGGAGAATTTTTGGCCTGTGAGGGAGCGAGTGCACTTCGGTGTCGGTTCACATCTATCTATACCTCGGACGAACATAAAACAAATGCATACAGGCGTAAGTTCATACGCGATTGCTAGTAAACTATTTATACCGTTATCTCACCAAGTTGCAGTACAGATGATTATAACAATAAACTAGTTACGACGTATTTTGGTCTATATATTTACTAGACCGAAATTCGCTTAGTCGTCTGTCGTCATTAGATCGGGTATAACGCAATAACAGCTCAGATTAACTTAGCTACGCGCGCGTCCCACACTGCGCACCAACGCTAGATGTTAGCAGCAAACGAATCAAAAATTAACGTGTTAGGTAATTAGTTTAGGCAACATTGATTTTAAATACATGAATCACGTTGCCAATGACAATATCACCGGCTCGTTAATAATGTAATCATACATGCAGAATACTGTACGAACCTCATCGCTGGACGCGGCCGTCAGTGGCAACGCCATATATCATCATGGCCGTTTTATTTGCATACAGAAGTACTTTATCCTAATATAAGATGCATCGTGTACATTAGGCCGTTGTTTAAAGAAATACATGACAAGGCAGATGTGACACGGTCTTCGCTTGCATGAGAACGCTTCACTTCCTACGATGAGCTTATATATATATATATATATATATATATAATTAGACCTACTGTTTATAATAATATAATAATTTACCGTTTACCGTAAATAGTATACTAGTACTTAAACAAATCTGTTTAAGATTGCGTACCTTTGCGAGAAAAGCAGGTATTTAATTAGCGAGATATAAAAAAATCCTTAAATGTCCATATATTCACTGTTGACAATTCAATTTTTGTACTCCCATCTTTGGTAATTTCCTAAATTACGACGAAGACCCGTGATCTGCTTATTAATGTTATAGAATGAAGTCGTGGAAAATAGGTTATTCTCGATTGTATAGATATGTATCATAACAGTTTACATGATACATTGATACATGTGTAAAAAACGGTTGCCGATTACATGTGCGAAGTAGAATGTCTCCTAAGAATAACAGGGCGACGAACCCCCTGAATATTGTAACATCACAATTAAGCTATATTTCTAGAGCACTAGTGTCAACGCCCACCAGATATTCTACAACAAAACGCAAACGATTTCCATATATATACGCACGACATCCAAAATAGTTTTTACTTAGAATTGAGAATACGCTTGAGATACTGATAGTATTACTTGCACGAGCGCATGCACACGCGCACGCAACATCACAAACATACACACTCACGCGCGAACGCGCATGCATGCACGCACGCACCGGCAGAGCTAGTTTAGTTCTATCGATTCGGTGAGATCGTTAAATAGCCATCTAAAACGGAAACGAGTTTGCTACGATAACGGATGGGAACATTTTGTTCACAGTAATTTCTATTGCGTATACGGTACAATCTCACACACCTGCACATCAAAAGCGAAATGTAAATTACACATGCAAATACAATGCATCTGTTATGGTTATATTACAATAATGTACACACTCTAACACACGCTCCCCACGCACACGCACATACACGCGCGTATGCACCCACGCACAGATATAACACACACATTTATATATAATTGTTGCACAAAAATAAATACGTCTGACATATTATATCAATCACCGTATATTATGATTTACACAGATCTTTAGTTACGGCCTCACATCTCCATCGTCTCCATCGGCAACGATAAACTGTAATCAACGGCAAAATCTTCGCGATCCTATATTAACGACAATAACAGGCAAGATTCGCACCGCAATCACAATGTCGTATTCTTTGGCATGATTGCATGTTCGCCCGGGTCTAGTATTAGTAAATACAGCTAGTAGAGGATATAGCTATTGCGGTAGCTGCTGAACGAATTATGACAGTTCTTGTGACTGTTCGCTGCGCGCCTCTTAGTTTCAGTCCACTCACTTCCAGTACCATCAGAGGTACCATCAGAGTTTTGCTCCAGCTAGTGTAGAGAGTTGTTTTCTCGTAGTGCATCTTGCCAGTCATAGTGAGATGTGGGATCGTGTGTGTCCGCGCGAGTTACTCGTTCCGCTGAGGCGGTTAGGTCGCCATCTTTATTATTGTGCACTCTCCGGTTTTATTGTGTATTGAATTATTCATTCATAGGCGTAAAAATAACTACGCGTTGGAACAAAACGCACGCACGCATGCCACGCACGTACACATGCACACACACCACGCACGTATGCACGCACGCATGCCACGAACGTACGCACGCACACCACACACGAACGCATACAGACGCACACACACGCGCGCGCGCTCTAGTTATAGCACACACGCACACACCGCATGCGTGCAACTGTATCGCCTTACACAATCTCGCCTCTTCAACGTAGCCGGTAAATTAAATGCAAAAATATATACAAACGGGTACACACACACACTCGTCAGCTGTACACGTGGACGCCGACGTTGTGCGGAAATGGGTCGATTGATCGATATCGATAGTCAGCTGTCAGTAGAAGAGCAGTGACTGTACAGAACAGTAAAACGCAGTATAGCTGCGGTTACCTGCATGACATGAGCCCGCTCCTTTACTCTTATATGATTGTAGTCATAATGTAAATACTATATTCAATGACTACATACTCGTACGTCCATTTCAGTTCCGTTTCTTTCCCTTGCTCTTTCGGTCTCCTTCTCTCTATTTCGTCATTTTCCTCTTTTTCCCGCTTTCCGCGCTCTCTCGTTCTCGCGTTTTTCATCTCTCATCATTTCCCAATTTCTAACATTCCTTCTTTGCCTTGACCACTCTCTCCTCCTTTTTGTCTTGATTTCTTTCTTTCAATTTCTGCTATTCTCTCCCTTTCTCGCTTTTTCTCTTGCTTTCGCTGTCTCTCTCTCTCTCTCTCTCTCTCTCTCTCTCTCTCTCTCCCCCTCTCTCTCTTTCTCTCTCTTTCCTCTCTATCTCATTCTTTCATTCTCACGTCTTCTGTTTTAATTTCTCTCAGACGCATTCTCGATTATATTTTGCCTCAACTATTCTCGCGCTGTCAGATCTACTCAACAGCGTTCTGTGTATTGACTAATTTCAGAAGCTAGTTGTTTCCTATGCTGCACAGGCGACAGCCGCAGCAGCAGTAGCGGCAGCGGCAGAGGCAGCACGCTTGCGCGTTTTAAGAACAACACGTAGACGTTTGCTTCTTCTCGGAGTTGACGTATTCCGTTACGTTGAACTTGGGCTCGTTCGGTCTCCGTGTTTTCCTCGACTTCAGATCCCTGCAAAAACGTAACGCAGAAGTGTCTCTCACGTGTCAGGATCAGGCGTTGTGTAGCTTTCCACTTACCCTCTCTCTTTCCTTCACTTAATATATTTACGACGGTTGCTCAAAGCGTCCACAAGGGGGCGCTCTCCGCGTAAAATACTTGCCCTGTGCATTGTGTGCAATATAATTATTACGTGCATCGTATTATCCACAGGCACTTGGAGCGTTTCAATAAAATATAATGCTAAATAAATACGAAATCTATTTACTACCAAAGTCTTAATGTTTCTATACTCTCTTTCACCTATTATTGCCGACAATTTCCTGTAAATGCCGTCCAAAGGCTCATCTACTACATAACAACTCAATACTATACAACAAACACTGGCTGCCGCCATTGCTGCAATGCAGTGCAATGGACCAATGGCGGCAGCCAGTTACGGCATGCATTTACAGGAAATTGTCGGTAATAATAGGTGAAAGAGAGTATAGAAACATTAAGACTTTGGTAGTAAATAGATTTCGTATTTATTTAGCATTGCATTTTATTGAAACGCTCCAAGTGCCTGTGGTATTATTAAGAGTGAATTATGGTGCCAAGAAGAAAGCCTACACGCGGCGGCACTGTCGGTGGATGTGGAAACGTTGGCGAAATATTCAACGAGGAAAACTCTACCTACGAAAACGAACAGCACTTGCGGAGGAGTAAATAATAATAGATTCTATTATTATACACTCCTGGTATTATAATGAAATGTTAAAGTCATACTGTATGTCGTCGCTTGTCTGTGCACGCACACATGAGCGCGTAGTAACTAGAGTGCAAGATGAATTAAGCCCAGTAGCCAGCAAGCTTTCGTGGTTAGCACCAACCCGCTAACACGCTAACACATATTGACGCGCACGTGCATTCGCACTTATGATAACAGCGCGCTAAATATCATGCAAGAAAGGAAGGAGACGGCAAAATCATACGCTTTCCCTTTGAGCAGAATCGGCCGTATGTGCGTTCATTTCCCACATACTAGTGACGCGACATGTACAATCTACGGTCATGTAGCATGATAATCAGATTAATCTTGATGATTAAACTAATTGTGAGGAGCCAACGGCGTTTCACACCTCTCCCCCACGTCCTCCCAGCACCTGCTAGGAATAATTAGCGAAGGTGGGTGAGAATGAGCGCCCAACTATAGAAAAATCTCACGAGTGTAAATACGTCAATACTTGCTCAGCCAACGTTCGTTTCCCATTGAAATTCGACGCTTTTCCGCGCGTTCGCTACTCACGTGTTTAACGAGGTAGAAGACGCTGACAGCGAAAATGTAACTAATTAACTAGTTAATAATGAAAGACAGCTAATTAACTATGATTGTGAATAGTTAGTTGTGACATTATCCGCCGGTACCGCAACACACTCGATAAAAAAGCCAAAGATGTTTTAATCAAGCCCATAGATGGAGGAAGTAAACAGCAAAGCAGACTATTTCCTGGCTACGATTATAATCAAGGTAAAAAACATAACCTTACCCGGCTACCGCTATAACCAAGGGAGATGACAGAACCCTACCTGCCTACTGTTGTCATCAGGATCTGTACAGAGAGAGTAGTTAGACTAGAGAGAGACTATAGGGTATAAATACCTCAGTTAATTAGCGATTAATACAGCAGATATTTACCTGGCTACAGCCATGAAGGCTAGATCTACGTTCACGCCCGACTTGGCGCTCGTCTCCATGAACGGTACACCGTGGTCCTGCGAAAAACGAGAGTGGGCGAGCTGTCAGTCATTCAACGCAGGCTGTCGCCGAAGCGCGGCGCACACGAACGCGGCTGGCGTTAAATTTGCAGACGCGTAAGTGAGTCGGATGGCATCCGTCATATTGACGTTCTAAAGCGAAAGCTCTTAAATATGTCGATATGATCGTTGGTGTCGTCGTAAGTGGATCGTCATTAATGGCCGTCAATATTCGGCGAGGGTGTCTTAGCGTGAAGAGCGCAAGGTCATTGGTGATTTGCCGTATAGACGCAGCTCTCTGTCTCTCTCTCTCTCTTTCTCTCTTTCTCTCTTTCTCTCTTTCTCTCTTTCTCT